CACTTCTGTGAGATACTGTGTATGTATATATATATATATATTAGTAGGGTCAAAATTAGCACGTTAACGCAGGCGATTTAATTTTTTCAATTTAACGCGTTAAAAATATTTAATGCAATTAACGCAGGGGCGGGGCGTTGGCCACCTCAACTGCTGCTTCTGTCACTTGTTCTCTTGACAAGAATTGCATTTATTCAGTCACAGAACGACTGAGAACGGGAGACGTTTCAGACGCGCGCTCCACTTCACTTCAGTGCCAGGAGTGAGTCAAGCCAGCACGGAAACGGTACTGTGCTCGCAGCGCGTGCTCTTCAATTGCATGCTGGCGCGCGCTGTAGCCTGTATCCTTTCATATCAAAGCGCGAAATAAACTACGTGCATGCAATGTCGTGGTCATAGTTAAGTCATGAAGTTACCAAAAAGGCGATTAAAGCTGCCTTAAAACTGTGCATGCATGTAATAATGTGTTAAAATTTGCAAAGCGTACCACATTGAACAAAACAATATAAATGCAAAATTTGAACTCATGAAAATATAACAGTATCCACGGTATAGCAAAATCTACATCATGGAACAACATAATACTTTATATTATTATTATACTTATACATAATAGTCACTTTCATTACCATCTGGGAAAAAAGAAAAGAAAAAATGTTTATGTAAAGGAAGAGTATTGATCATTATTTTATTCATTAACCGGAATCAACTCCCAAGTGATTTTTTTTTCTTTCATCTCTTGACTGGCATTTGAACCATAACTTACCAACACATTTTGGTGGATCTGGTTTAAAGGTTCCATCCTCAGAACAATGAAGTGTTGATTGTCCAATAAGATTAAGTCCTTTGTTGCATCTATAGGAGACTGCTTGTGAATAATCATAACTCTCCAAAGGCTCATCTTCAAGTTGCCCATTTTCTATGGCTGGAGGTGCTGAACATTTCACAGCTAAAGAAAAAAAACATATCCAGGTGAATAGGTATTTATTTCTAAAATAAAAAAAAAAAGCCAAACAAAAATACAAATTGGGAATTGTTTTGTGCTCTTCAATATCATATTTGATTCAATGTAAGAACTGACATACGTTCACAGACAGTATCTTGGCCATCCCATCCCTGATCTCTGCATGTTCTTGTTGTTTCCTGACCCGCTAACATGTATCTGAAAGCAACGATTCTCCTCTTACCAAATAATCAAACAGATCACAACCTAAATTCCATATGGTTTAAAACACACTTAATCCACCACAAAGAAAGTGACTTTCACAAACCCTTCGACACAAACTGGTTTAGCTGTGTCACCAAATAAATTTCCAGTCATTTCATATCTCCCATAAAGAAAATCTGCAAGGCTTCCACAGGATTTTCCTGTAATGTATTCAAGATATTAACTGATTTAGAATTGGTGCTCTTTAAATACTGTTGAAAATAATGAAAAATAATCTTTAGTGTTGCTTCATTACAAGATACAGGGAATGTGTGATACTGTGATGCTTCCTGCTGTCAGTGGCAAAACCACTATGAGCTATTTAATGATTGTTAAGCTATTTAATGACTTGTTGACCTATAACATACATCCTTTCACATATCTAAATTAGACAAAAGGCATTTTAGAGAAATTTACAAATGTAGGGTACTTAACATATTTAACGACAGTACATACTTGTGCAACTGAGTTCCAGATTTGTCCACTGGTTTCCCTGACAGGTAACTGATTTAGATGCTTTTAAGTCAACTGGCTTGTGTCCAATCACACACTCAAATGTTACAGTGGATCCATCTGGGAAACTAGGAGTCGAGAGATGCTCTGCTGTTAAAATGACATTTCTTGATGTAAAAGAAGGCTGTGTGCATTGCGCTGTGGAAATAAACAAAACATATGCTTTACAGTAATCTGATGCAGTACTATTTTGATCATCATCATTCTTGTTGTTAGTACAACTTCTGCTCCATTCTATTCTTATATTTGGTTAAAAAAATATTACTAGGAGGTGAATATAAATTAGTATGATTTACTCACTCAAAGATGTGCAGTTAAAATTAAATCTCAATGCTCGAATGGGATCAGCTAATTAAAGTTTAATAACAGTTTTTACATTTTTTCATGTGTTGCTCATACTTTATCATCCACCCTCCCCCCTTTTTTAAATATAACCCAAATATGGTCAACTTTGGCTCTTTCAAACACTAAAACTAAAGTAACGTTTGGGTAAAAACACAACAGTCTAATGCTACACACACTGGTGCTAACTACAACTGAGCAAATCATGTACCGAAGTTGCTTTCATACAGTTTTACCACTGTTATCATTGCAAAATGTATCAAGGTTACATAAATATTTATGCACTGGGGACAAAAACACATCTGCTGGCTAAGGTCATGATTAAATCTGCCCTGAAAGCATTACAAGGGCACCAATGAACAGCCTGAGGATATTGTTGCAGGCTCATATAAATGCTAAAATTAATTTTGGGTTCATGCATCCAGTTCATGATTGAAGCAATGGAATTCATGTGCGTGTACCTTGTTTACCAGTGAAGATTTTGTTTTTTTTCTGTGTACAGTAGCAGCATGCTGTGACCCTGATTAGGATTACCAAGCTTTAAGCTAAAACCTCTGTTTGCACTGTTAGTTGCTAGTATCAACATTACGCTACTAGACTATACACTTGTCTACAGTTTTTCCAGTGAACTCACCAAGTGTACTTTCCTAATATTATATTACAACACTACACAATTCTTAGAATGGAAATATGTTATCCCCTGTCTAAAGGAACGTACTGCATTTGAAAATATGGGCGGAACTTCTGGTTTTGCCAAGTGTCACTCAGATAGACTAAAAACAAATGATTACATATTTTAAGGGTGCGCTACAAATAATCCTTATCTGTCAGATTTTGTCATTCTATATTTTTTATCTAACAGGACATGGATATCACAAGAATATCAGTTTCAAGACCACTGCTGTATGACTTATATGTGGCATTATTAGAGCTAACCATTAAACAAGTTTATTGGTAGTATCTGATTGTTTACACTTCTGTGGAAGTTACTCCCACAATTCACTGAAAGCGTCATCGGGTGTAGGAAAAAATTCGATATACTCTTTATGCCTGTTTCCTGGACAAACAAAAAACTTAAAGGAACACTCCACTATTTTTGAAAATAAGCCTATTTTAAAAAATAGTGGAGTGTTCCTTTAAGTGGCTTAATATGGGCTTTTTCCCCTAGTAATATCTGGCAACTCTGTTTATGTGTCATGAATATTTTTGTATAGTATTGCCGGAAGACAAAGAGACTGTAAATGTACATTTTACAGTTTCTTTTACTGTATATCTGATGAAGGTTACTTTTTTTTTACACTAGCATGAGATGCTACAGCTAACGCACATAGATCAAAAGTCACAAAATTTTAGGTGTAATTATTAATCGTAGTTCAAATTCTTTATAAATACATACTCACCTCGGACATGTTGACAGATCATAAGATAAGCAAGAAGAGCAACACTGGGACACAGCACCTTACATCTCATCTTGTTTATGTCGGTGAATTGCAGCTCCAAACAAGGCCAATGTTTTTTTCCGCTACGGATAAATATAAAGACATCTTAGCATAAGGAAATGCACTTTTAAAACATGTATTTTTGAATAACTAAACGTCAACACATTAAGTACAAAAACAAAAGAGATGCAAGAAAAATTCACATTAGCAAAACCTGTTAACGTTAGCCGCTAGCATAACGATAAAGATGGGGTATAAATTATTAACATGTCACATTACTAGACAACATGCTTAGAACGAATGTATAAAAATCGGTTTAGCTAATCAACGAAGCTTCATATAATGTTCTTATAAGGCTATTCGTTACGATAAAAGAAAGTGGTAACGTTACGCAACGCGCAGGAAGGGCGTAATGGTCACTGCGCTTCCTTATCTGTTAATTTAATAGTCAAAAACAGAAACCCTAATCTAACTCCACACACGTAAAATATAATTGTGAAATAACAAATAATATAATATAGAATATTCTCGTAATAATGGCGAGGTCCTTGTGGTACTATAGTAATACACAGAGAAGCGAAAATTCAATGTTTTAATCAACCTTACCTTCGGGTGTTTTAGAAGGATTTTCGGTGTTCAGTGCTCGATTCAGACTGAGGCATGTACAGGCCAGTACAACATACAGGAAGGGATGAGTGTGGAGATTAACACTTGCTTCTCATAAAGTAAATTT